CAAAAAAAAAAAAAAAAAAAAAAAAAAGTAGAAAGCACTCCCTGACTTTAGTCTGTGAAGTCCTCTTACTACACAGCAGATGATAAAAGTAATGACACCATATTTGCAAATTGAGTAGGTGGGTTAAAGCACTAGCTTTTTGCAACCAGTGGAAAGTGTGTGAATGTAAAAATGAGATTTGGCAGACGTTATCAGGTTGACAAATTTAGGCTGCTCTTTTCCTTTTCTCTTCCTATCCAAGTTGCTGGGATTTTTGCTCCCCAGCTCAGCTCAAGCCCAGGTTGTCTTTACCTAAGTGGTGGGAGGAGGACTGCTGTGGGTCCCTGTAGAGATTTTGAGGAGGGTGAGCAGAGGCACAGAAACGACAGCCATAGAATCTCCAAGAAGCCCCTGACCACTGTAGTCTTGTTCTGTGGCAAGGGGCGGGAAGAAGAGAGGACTGAGAGGATCTGGGAGTGAAATCCACTTATTGGATTATCACCTCACCCTGGTACTCCCGGCCCTGCCCTGACCTGGCCCGCTGTCAGCTGTGGAAAGACCACTGAGGTTCAGGGAGGCACAGTCTGGTGCCTGGTGGAGCAGGGCTCTTCCCACCCCTTCCATTCTGTCTGTTGGTAGAGTGTCTCCTGGATTTTAGACCCTACACTTATGAGTCCACATTCCCTTTAGGCCACAGCAGCCTCAGTCCATGTGCTTGAGGGTGTTGGACTACCCAGGGGCACTCTGGATGAAATTGACCCTGTTCCCACCTGACCCCAGCAGAGGGAGCCAAGGGCTTGTTTCTTCTGAGTACCCAGTTAAGACTGCTTAGCCAGGGCTGTCTGTTCAGTGAGTAGCTAAGAGCTGCTACTGCTTCTGTTGCTGCTGCTGCTGATTTTTTAAATTTTTGGTGGCTGGCTGGTACAGGGATCTTGGAGCTTCTTGTCATAAGGATTCTGCTTGCTCATTTTTCAGATGCCCTACATGCTAATGACAGGACTGCAGGCTGGCTTTATTGCGTGCTTAACTCCAGCTCCTTCCTAAGCTGTATAGCTGACCTCAGAATGTGTTTCCTCACTTTGTGGTCATTAATTGTGATATCCCCTCCCAGAGTGCTAGTGAAAAGCATAGATGAGGCACTTGGAAATTGACAGCTGGTTTATCATCATTGGCTCTTTTAACTTTCAAACTAGCTCTACAAGTTGAGTTAACTGAGGCTCTGGACAGTTAAGGGGCTGCCCCGAGGTCACAGGTATTGAGCAGAGAGTCATACTTCAAAAGCAGCCAGGCTTGTGTAGCACTATAGTGTACCACTGTCATTGCCGGGTGGGCCCTGGCCTCCAAACAGAAGACGTAAAAGGAAATGCCACCGTGAAACCAGGATTAAATATTTAAGGCCTTCAGGTGTTGTGTAGCTCATCCCCCCCCCCCATTTTACAGATGGAGAAACTGAGGCTCAGGGGGCATATGACCTGTTATTGAAGCATTAGGCCTAGAGTCCGAGGCTATAGACTCCCAGCCCAGAAGCCTTTGTGCAAACATAGGCTGCCTTTGACCCCATGGAGACACTAGCCTTATATATGGTTTTATTGATTTATCTAATAAAACATATGGATACTTTTTAAAAATATAATCACAGTATCATTAATTCCTTAATATCATCCACTATCCAGTCAGGGCTCAGATTTCCCTGATTTTCTCATATAAAAATTTTTTTTTTTGGTCATTGTCATTTTGGGGTTTTTTTGGTGACTAGCCTGTACCGGGATCAAACACTGGACCTTGGTGGTGGTGTTTTGTTTTTATAGTTTGTGTTTGAGTCTGGATCACTATAAGGCCCATACATTGCAGTTGAGTGAAGCCTCTCTCAAGTGTCTTTTCATCTGAATGTCCCACCATCTTTTTATTTCCTGAGGAAAGTGGGTTGTTTGCTGTGTAGGTTCCCCCTAGTCTAGATTTTGATGATTGTGCCCTGTGGTTCAACTTATTGTATCACTCTTTTGCCCTGTATTTCCTGTAAATTGGTAGTTGATTTAGAGCTTGATCAGATTCCATTTTTATTTTTTTTGTGGGGGGAGGGCAGGACTGTGCCATAGATGTTGTAAGATATTTCCATCAGGAGGCACAGGCTGTCTTTATTTTTGTGGTGTTAGCAGCATTGATGTCTGTTGCCTAGATCTATTAATTCATTAGGAAATTAATGATTTTAATACACTTGAATCGGAATTATACCAACATTGCTTAATATTCCTCAAAAAATTATTTTCCAGAATGATCTTCATTAGGCCATTTTAATTAATAAATTTTTCATTTAGCCATTAAACAAAATCATCTTCCTTTTATACCTTTTTAAGTTTTTTTAATCCTTCTTTTCCATCAAAATTTTATAACAAAGGTTTGACTAATTGAATAGTTTTTGTTTGGTGTTATTTATTTGTGGCAGCTGGATGGTATAGGGATCTGAACCCATGACCTTGGTGTTCTGTAAGGCTGTGCTCTAACAATGGTGTTATATTTTTGTGACTATAGATAGCCTCCCCTTTCATGCATATTATTTTTACCAAATTCAGTTGTCCTCAGCCACATGTTGCAGATGTAAATTTTGTTGAGAAGGTTTGATTCTTCCATCAGGTTTTGTCAATTAAAAACCGTTCTCATGTGCAGTTTTACCTGTTCTGTTTTATTTTGGTTGATTTGATCTGTTAGTAATAGTCACTACACATTGGCCAAAAGACTAAAAATTTTTGTTTTCTAGCCAGTTGTCCATGCAAGTCAGGGCAGCAGGGCAGAGACCCACAGCGGGCAGGGACACTTGGTGAGACAGAGAATAGGGATGAGCTGGAGCTGCCACTGTCCTGGTGTCTGGTTCCTGAAGGCATGCTGGGGTCAAAAAGCAGGATTAGCATGTCCCACCTGAGTTGCTCCTGCTTGGTGAGACAGAGAATAGGGATGAGCTGGAGCTGCCACTGTCCTGGTGTCTGGTTCCTGAAGGCATGCTGGGGTCAAAAAGCAGGATTAGCATGTCCCGCCTGAGTTGCTCCTGGTGCTATCCTTGGAAAGATGAAGGAGAAGCCCATGTTGGTTCAGGAAAAGAATAGGCCTTGTTGTTCTTTGTGATAAAATTACTGCATTGTCCCCTGCATCATCTCTTCTCTGCTTGTCACGTTTGATTACAGACTGTGCCCTAATCATCCCAGGTGGGTGGAAGTAGCATCACTGTCTCTCTGCTTATAGCACTGGGTCACCTTGTCTCCAGTGCATGTGATAATATCTTTTTCTGGGAACATAAAGGGGGCCTTTTTTCTGTGATTAGTGTAAGATTTGGTCAAGGTAAGGTGGACACAGCACCAAAGTTGCATACCTGTTCTCTTGGGGGTGGAAGGGAGTCTGTTCTGCTTCTGTGGAAATCATAATTATTTCTATTATTATAATATAAATTATTACACTTTAATAACAAATTATTATTATTGCTACAATTATTTCTAGCAGTATATCTATTGCTGTTGTCATGGGGCTTTGTTCCTCTGAGACAAGGCCCTGGCCACCATATAACAACTGAAAGGACAGGTTTTTTTTTTTTTAAATGGTGGTTAAGAGTACTACTCTCTTTGATCAGACAGCTCAAACCCTGGCTCCAGTGCTTACTAGCAGTATGATTCAAGCCACACCTTTCAAAGCCTTGATGTTTCTCCTCTGTAAAATGGAAATGATAATCCTCCCTATCTCACAGTGTTGTGAGGATCTCATGACCTCAAGGACATAAAGGGCCTGGCCCACAGGAAGCATTCAATGTCAGTGAGAGGTGACATTACCATCCCTAGATGCCCAAGTCTGCCTGGAGGCAAGATGTCAGCCAGCATTCTCACTGCAGTCTCCTCTCCCTTTTCCAGTGACTTGCTGTCCCCTGACTCCGTCCTGAGCTGTTTGTATCCTGGGGATCATGGAAAGAAAACTCCGAATCCAGCCAATCAGTATCAGTTTGATAAAGTCGGGTGAGTCAGCAGCACTTCCTCCTCTCCCAACGTCTCTACTTCTGAGTTTCTCTGGTGGCTTAAGCCCAGTGCTGGAGACCTGTTAGAGTCAGAGGCCACCAGAGGACAGGGAGGATCGTGTGGCCGGAGGCTTGCCTTTCTTGCTTACAAGGCAAAGGGAGGCCATGGAAGGGTGGTGGAAAAGGGTAGAAGGATCAAAACTTGGAGAACTTAAGACCACTTGATACAATAAAAATGTTTAACATTTTAACTCTCTAAGGATTAAAATTTTAAAATATATTTTATAAGTTGGTAGACTAATGAAGAGATTAATACACTGCATTTTTATTTGAGCTTTACCTATGAGTTGAAGGCTGCAAGGGGAAAAAGAGGAGAGTGAATGTGGGAGCGATGAGAGTCACAGAGGGGACTGATGAAGTTAAGGGGCTCTTCTCGCAGCCTGGCTGTGACATGGCTGAGCCTGCAGGGTTGGCCTGTTGGTGGGGGATGGGAGGATGGGGGAGGGCTGGGTCCTGGGACCATAGCAGAAATGACTTATAAAATCATTTTATTTTGTCTTCTCTTCTGCAGCATCCTGACTTTGAGAGACTATGTGCTTGACCTGGGTCACCCCTACTTATGGGTACAGAAGCTGGGTGGCCTCCACTTCCCCAAAGAGCAGCCACAGGTATGTACACTGATCCAGTCTCCTTGGCTGAGGAGCTCTCCCTCCACTCCTCCTGACAGACTACAGAAAAGCCTCTGATGGTCTTTTGGGAACTAGCAGAAATCTTTCCCTGGGGCTGTGATCTGGCCTCCATCCACTCAGGATACTAAAATGTCCGAGCCCTACAAGGGCTGAGGTGACTTTTGCCTTCTTCCTGAGCCTGGTAGCCTTCTCAACCAAGATAACTTGGGTCATTGCTCTGGGTACAGCCTGGCTACATGCTCTGCTGCCCTTGGTCTTGTGTACAAGGATGCCAGAAATGTGTAAGCAAAAGTCCGCGAGGTCAGGCATCTTAGCAGAAGCCTGCCTTTTCTCAGGAGCTGGCCACAGCCTCTTGAGAACCCAGCAGCTTCTGTTGTTCCTGCCAGGACTCAGCATCTTGACTGTCATAGCAGGTAAACCCTGCCATTCCTAAAAGGCATCCATTTAGGAGCATGGGTGGTCTAGGCTGCCACAGGTAAGTAGGTCCCAGGAGAGTGGTGCCAGCAGGGAGGGAGGGGGAGCACTCAGGTGTGTGCCTGTTACTGTCATTCACAGCACACGGTGATCACTGACCACTCACTGAGTGCCAGCCACATGGAGACTACCATGAAACTGCTGAAGACCAGGGTGCAGTCCCGCCTGGCCCTCCACAAACAGTTTGCATCCCTAGGTGAGCTGATACTGGAGCCGAGGTTCAAGAGTCACTCAGACCACACAGGGACAAAAATGACTTCACTTTTCTCTCAAACTCTTGAATCTTGATGACAGAGACCTGGATTTTGGGCTTTACTGAGCAGGGGTCTTGGCAGGGCCACTGGGGAGAGCTACCCATCCATCCAAGCAGAGGTCTAAGCTGCCATCAGGGCTGTCACAGAGGAAGCCAAAGCCTGGGTGGCACAAGTTCACAGGTGGGTCAGGGGCAGCTCAACCTGGTCAGTGCATCACAGACCCTGATGTGCATTCAGTAGATACTAGTGAGAGCCTAATGCATGCCAGGCACCAAGCGTGGTGCTAGGAAGGGACAGTGTATGCAGCCGACAGAGCCTCTGCTTTTGTGGAGCTCACATTCAGATAATTTGAATGCAGTTGTTCAGAGATCCATTCCCTCCCTCCCCCAAGACCTACTGAGCTGATATTCCCTAGGGAGAGGCAGAATCCCCCCCCTCTCCCCCCTCCCCCTCCCCCCTCATGTTTTTGCCTAAGCTCCCAGGTGATTCTGATGAGCCACTGATCTAGGTGGTGGCCAAACGGGGGATTCTTTTAGTTTACTCCTTCAGGGTGGGGATGGACAGTGATAGAACCTACCACAGCTAAGGGCTTGGACACTGCCTTAATTCCTGAACAGGGGGGCTTGCCAGATTTGCAGGATTTGCTGAAGCTTGTATGGTATAGTGGAGGAAAGTGCCTAGACCCATCTCACCCACTTACCTACCTTGGGGTCCACAGGTTCCCCCATTCATAAAATAAGGAGAAATACCTGCCTTGAAAGGTTATCTTGGGCATCTTTGAAAACATGAATAAACAGAAGCATTAAAAAGGGCTAGAATGAGATATGTGAGATCATTGCAGCTGTTAATTATCAGTATGCTGTTGATTTGGTAGCAGTCTTATGGCTATGGAATGTTTTTAACCCTAACACCTCTGACTTGGATATTGAGATTCCTTCTGTATACACCTTTGTCTCCCTGGCTGTGGGCATACAAGGCTGGGAAAGTTATGGGGCAGAGTCAGGAAGACCCTGTTGTCTTGAGGAGAGGGGACCTCAGGATGAACCATCAGCTTGATCTGGTGGCCCAGCTTCTGCAGAGGCACCAGCCCTCAGGCCCAGCTGGAAACGGAGACCTGGCTGGTGTGGTCAGCCTCATGCAGGAAGGTAGTGCTGAGGTGCTGGCTTTTTCCGCCCACACAGGCCATGGAGAGTGAAGTCAATGTGTGCAGAAACGTAAGGAAAGGTTGGACTCTGATATCCGAGCTTCTCTGTCACTACCCCACTTTCTTCCCTTCTCTTTATTATGTCTTTTATTTTTAATATTCTGAAGAAATTGAATGTTTCAGAGACAGTTGAGGCCTCCTTCTTTATGTCTTTTATTTTTAATATTCTGAAGAAATTGAATGTTTCAGAGACAGTTGAGGCCTCCTGATCCCACTTCATTCCCTAACAGGTGACCATTATTTGGAATTTGTGCATTTGCTTCCCTTCTTCTTCCCTTTTTTTTTTTTAAAAAGATGACCAGTAAGGGGATCTTAACCCTAGGCTTGGTGTGGTCAGCACCACGCTCAGCCGGTGAGCTAACCGGCCATCCCTATATAGGGATCCGAAACGGCCCCCCAATTTTTTTTTATAATGATATGAACACTGCTTTGACATTTGGCAGTTCTGGTTAAACTCGACTGCTGCCTTGCCACTCTTTGGTGGTGGGGAAGTTTCCGTCCAGAGCCTTAGTTTTGTTATATGTAAAATTGGGATGATGATGATAATAGTATCCATCTCATTGAATCATTGTTAGGAAGGACTCAATGAATGTTGGCTATTAAAAAGAATTTCACGTAAGTTGTACAAATAAAAGGAAGAGAATAGAGAAATATAATTGAGATAATGACTGATACACAGTATTGCTGAAAAGAAAAGACAGTAAGCTTTCAAGTGGAAAAATCCTTAATTTGTTGGCAAATAAAGAAATGACAATTAAACTTTTGTCAAAGTAGCAAATAGAACTCGTGGGCAAACTCAAGGTGGATCAGACTCAGCAGTCCACACCCTTGTGGCACAGTAAATAGATCAAGGTCCTTGGAGGAACCAGAATTACAGGACCTCACATTCTGCAACCCGTCAATTCTACTTTGATTTAGATTCTAGAATAATTAGTACCACAGTGCACTCTGCAGCCCTCGGATTAATAGGAGTCATTGGAGCTGTCCTCGGGCCCAGTGGGGAGGCTGCCATGGCTGGCAAGCTGGGTCACAGCACTGATTTTTCTTCCTCTCCCATCTCTTCCCAGCCAAACTCCAGGCTGCCGTGGTGCTAAACCCCGGCTACTCCTCCATCCCTCCCATTTTCCAGCTCTGTCTGAACTGGAAAGGGGAGAAGACAAACAGCAACGATGACAACATTCGGGTAAGGCCCGCTGGGGGTGACGGGAGGAGCAGGGAGAGTCTCCAGGGTGGGGATGGACAGTGATAGAACCTACCACAGCTAAGGGCTTGGACACTGCCTTAATTCCTGAACAGGGGGGCTTGCCAGATTTGCAGGATTTGCTGAAGCTTGTATGGTATAGTGGAGGAAAGTGCCTAGACCCATCTCACCCACTTACCTACCTTGGGGTCCACAGGTTCCCCCATTCATAAAATAAGGAGAAATACCTGCCTTGAAAGGTTATCTTGGGCATCTTTGAAAACATGAATAAACAGAAGCATTAAAAAGGGCTAGAATGAGATATGTGAGATCATTGCAGCTGTTAATTATCAGTATGCTGTTGATTTGGTAGCAGTCTTATGGCTATGGAATGTTTTTAACCCTAACACCTCTGACTTGGATATTGAGATTCCTTCTGTATACACCTTTGTCTCCCTGGCTGTGGGCATACAAGGCTGGGAAAGTTATGGGGCAGAGTCAGGAAGACCCTGTTGTCTTGAGGAGAGGGGACCTCAGGATGAACCATCAGCTTGATCTGGTGGCCCAGCTTCTGCAGAGGCACCAGCCCTCAGGCCCAGCTGGAAACGGAGACCTGGCTGGTGTGGTCAGCCTCATGCAGGAAGGTAGTGCTGAGGTGCTGGCTTTTTCCGCCCACACAGGCCATGGAGAGTGAAGTCAATGTGTGCTACAAGGAGCTGTGTGGCCCCCAGCCCAGCCACCAGCTCTTGACTAACCAGCTACAGCGGCTGTGCGTGCTGCTGGATGTCTACCTGGAGACCGAGAGCCATGACGACAGCGTGGAGGGGCCCAAGGAATTTCCACAGGAGAAGATGTGTCTGCGGCTTTTCAGGTGAGGGGCAGGGAGGTGGGCTGGGGCTCTGGTGACTTCTTACGGGTTCATGAGGCAGATGGCTAGGTCCCATTGTGCAGGGCACAGGGGGCACACACGTTTCCAGGTGCACTCATCTCTGTTCACAGGAGAAATTAAAATCCTTCTGCTGGATTTCCTGCAAGCTCTCCCCTTCCTGAAATTTCCCCTGCAGCCCACCTCCAACCAGTCTGGCCCACCTGTTCTTCACGAACACCCTCTGAAGGTGGGATACCCACCGAGCAAGTGCCACCAGACCATGAACCAGGAGGATTTTGAACTACACTTTCTAGGGGAACAATAGGGTTTGTTTGCCTTTTATTGTTCATATAAGCATTTTAAATGGTGTGCATCCTCATCAGCCCCCAGGGAGTCTGGTGTAGTCTTTGTAGGGTGCTCACACGTCAGTGAGAAACACAGCTTTAGGCATTACTGAAGGAGCCCGCTCAGAAGTAAGACACACAAGTGTAGGTCTCTAGTTTGTGGCTGACCAGCAGAGTGACCTTGGAAGAGTCACTTCCACTCAGCCTTGAGCCTGTTTCCTAAAGGCCTCAGTGGTGGAAGTAATACTTTCTAGCTCATGATGGATCAGTGATAATTCATATTAAGCTTCCAGATGGTTCCAGGCATAAGATGGGCTCAGAAAACATCAGCAGTTCCTGACGGCTTGGTATTTAGTGTCTGGGCTCACGGCACAGCCAGCTACTTTCCTTTCTCTTTGATGTTGGATCAGTGATAATTCATATTAAGCTTCCAGATGGTTCCAGGCATAAGATGGGCTCAGAAAACATCAGCAGTTCCTGACAGCTTGGTATTTAGTGTCTGGGCTCACGGCACAGCCAGCTACTTTCCTTTCTCTTTGATGTTGGGTCCTTTATTTCCCTTTCATCCCTAACTCATGCTCCTGTTCATAGAGTCCATTTCATTTTTCTTTTCTTTTTTTTTTTTTTTGTCGATATACAATGTGGTTGATTATTGTGGGCCATTACCGAAACCTCCCTCCCTCCTCCCTCTCCCCCCTCCCACCCAACAATGTCCTTTCTGTTTGCTTGTTGTATCAACTTCAAGGAATTGTAGTTGTTATGTCTTCTTCCCCCCCCCCCCCCCCCCCCCCCCCCCCCCCCCCCCC